TCCATACAAAGACTATATATATATATATATATATATATTTATGGCTTTACAGTTTAAACTGAAACTCTACATATTAAACATATTTCCTTTTCTATAATAAAACTCCTAATTCTCTTATCATTAACTATTGCAATTGAAAGTTATTACTTAAAAAAGTGGTGAAATTTGAAGAGACTTGTGAGAGAAAAATATAGGAAATAAGAAAAATATGAGAGGGAAATAATATGTCATGATTTTTTCAATTGAACATTAATTTTAAAAACTATAAACTAATTTCTATAAACTAAAGCCGTACTTACAGTAAACAATTAATAAATAAATATATATTTTTTTATATTGTTAAAATGCAATTATATTTTTATAGAATTTATAATGTTTTATTAATATCAATACCTGATTTCATTAGAAAATATGAATTTTATAATTTTTACATGAAACTATTTTATAATTAAGAAAAAAAAAAAAAAAAAAGAAGCCAAACGGAGATGTGGCGGGGAATGGACAGATCACATACCTGACACGCTCCCTCCATCGTAGTCTCTCTCGCCTCCCGGCCATGCTTTTATCCTCCATATCCACCGGCTTCAAAGTTCAAACGTCCTAACGTGCACCCCGGCGCATTTTATCAGCCAGCATCCTGACTCTTGTTTCCCGCCGCCGGGCCGCGCTCTTTTCAGACTGAGAACCCTCCCGCCTTTCGACTTCAAAATAACGTCCCCCGCGGCGCATTTTGGCACTAACTACTTGTCCACTGTCTCTTCAATCTCAAAGATCAATACGTCTCATCCATGCATCTTTGATTATTTCAATAAACTCACCAATTGGGAGCTTCTTTACTCCTATCATTGGTTTTAGCGTTAGGGTTTGAAAAGTTTTCCCATGGGAACCAAGGTCTCGGACGAACTCGTATCTACAGTTAGGTCAGTGGTGGGTTCGGACTATTCCGACATGGACATAATAAGAGCCCTGCATCTGGCAAAACACGATGCCACCGCCGCTATAAATATCATTTTCGACACTCCTAATTTCAAGAGTGTCGAGATAACCTCTCGCAACTTGAGCTCCAGCGCAAGACCCGCTGATACGAGACGGAAGAGAATCGAACAAGAGAATAAGACTAGCACTATCAGTGATGACCAGACGGTTACTTGTAGCGTTAGTAACGTGGAGGATACTCTCACTGCTAATGTTGATAAGGATTCAGGATTGCATTCGATCTCGGAGGATTGGTGGTTTGTGGGTTCTAGCGAAGTGGCGGGACTGTCAACGTGTAAAGGGAGAAAAATTAAGGCTGGTGATGAAGTTGTTTTCACGTTTCCATTGAGGAGTGGTTTGAGTTCGGGGTCGACACCACGGAAAGGTTTTGGGAGGGGAAGGGAAGCTGCAGCTGCTTGCTCAGAGATTATGAGATTTGCCACCAAAAATTCTGGAGAGGCATGTTTCTTTTTTTCTCTCTTGTTTTTTCTTTTCCCGTTTTGATAAAACTTGGGTGATTTGTGAAACTTAATGGAATTTATGGACTGGATAAATTGTTTCCCAGATTGGTAGAATGCCAAACGAGTGGGCTCGGTGTCTATTGCCACTTGTGAGGGATAAGAAGGTCAGAATCGAGGGCCACTGTACATCTGCTCCTGATATGTTGGGTATTATGGACACTATTCTTCTTTCGACAAGGTAGTCCTGTTGCGAAGACTTAAAATTCGATCCCTACAAGAAATTTTTAATGGCGGTTGTTAGCAAAAACTGCACTAGCATTTCGTTAGATAAGTAATGAAATTTGCAGTTTACTTCAGTGTGGAGTTGGTAGGATTGATGAATTTGTGTTGTTTTTGAGACAGCGTGTCCATAAACAGTTCAATGTTCCGGAAGCACAAGCAGACCTCACTTAAGGCAGCCAGCAGTTCCACTGAAGAATCTGTTTTTCATCCTCTCCCAAATTTATTTCGATTGCTTGGATTGACCCCATTCAAGAAGGTGAATGTTTGCTGCTTGAAAAACCTTTACCAGGAGTGTCTTTTTGATGTTGTAGTGATCAAATTTGGCTGTGTATCGGGCCTACATAATATGTCAATTGATTTTTTCAGTTCCTTCTTTTTTCTCTTCAAATATTTATGATCAACTCCATGTTCTTCATTTAATTATCAACATTAGGCCGAATTTACTCCTGCTGATCTGTACACAAGGAAGAGACCTTTGGATTCAGAGGTAGAGATATATCTACTCATTATTTTCCTTCTGTTTGTGCTGGAGTTACGTGTCTGATATCGTTGGCAACAGGATGGCTCTGCTCTTCCCGCTTCGTTGTTTCCTGCCAGCAAGTTTAAAAATCAGTCTCAGAATGGAAACGAAGTTGAAAATGAGGAGTGCATTTCAGATGCCGATCTTGACAATATTGTTGGACTTAGGGACAGCTCTGAGCTAGAGGTACTATAATTTGGGAGTTGACTTTTGGCGTACTAATGGATGTGATTACTTTTTTTCTTGAATAGATAGTGGATGTGATTACTTACTGAGTAGTTCTTTTGATTTAGGAAATGGATTCCCCTAGTAGTCTTCAGTGTGAACTTCGTCCTTATCAAAAGCAGGCACTTAATTGGATGATCCAACTCGAGAAGAGACAGGGCATGGATGAGGCAGCAACAACCCTTCATCCTTGTTGGGATGCATATCGCTTAGCAGACAAGTGCATTGATTTTTTCTGTTTACTTACTAATTTACTAATCTCTTGAAATGATTCTTATGACATGTTTTCTGTTTATAGGAGGGGACTTGTTGTTTATTTGAATTCATTTTCTGGTGATGCTGCAACTGAATTTCCTAGCACACTTCAAATGGCCAGAGGAGGAGTACATCCTTGACACCCCTATCAGAAATATTTTTTAATTTTTCCTAATTTTATGTATCTATTCTGTATTAATTTCACTATACTTTTTGAAGATGTTAGCAGATGCTATGGGTCTTGGGAAGACCATAATGACCATAGCCCTTCTTCTTGCTCATTCTGATAAAGGTGGCTTGCCTAGTAATCAATGCATGACTCAGCCTTCTTGTGAAAGCTGTGAAGTTAGTGGCCTTTCGGGTGAATCACCTAATCTTCCAAAGAAGGCAACAAACTTTTCGGGCTTTGATAATTTCGTAAAGCAAAAGAAGACACTGAAAAATGGTGTCAACCTCATCATATGTCCTATGACTCTTCTTGGCCAGTGGAAGGTATTAATTCTAAACATTTGATGTAAACCATTTATTCTCTGCATGCTTGTTGCATCTCTACAACATAAAATTGATAGTTCCATTACTAGCCAAATACATGTCTTGTGAGGAACTATAAGAATTTAATTGTGTTGTCAGGCAGAGATTGAAACTCATGTGCATCCAGGGTCGCTCTCTCTCTACATTCACTATGGACAAAGCAGACTGAAGGATGCAAAAATCCTAGCCCAGAGTGATGTTGTAATTACTACATACGGAGTCTTAGCTTCAGAGTTTTCAGGAGAGGTAGTTTGAAAACATATTAACAAAAATACATTTTGGGGAAAGGAAGGTTGTTGCAGTTCTTGACGAAAAAGACAAAGTATTTCCTCATTGTCTCTTCTTATTCCCTTTGTAGAATGCTGAAGACAATGGGGGGCTTTTCTCAGTTCACTGGTTTAGAGTGGTTCTTGATGAGGCACATACCATAAAATCATCCAAGAGCCTGATTTCCATGGCAGCTGCAGCTCTAGTTGCTGATCGCCGCTGGTGTCTTACTGGTACTCCTATCCAGGTGATTTGTCTTTTCAAATAAAGCCAGTTTTGGTTTCAATGATCTTCAATGTTCCTTGGATATAAGCATTACTCCTGATTGCCGCTATTTTTTTCAGTTGAAATGAAGTAAAAATGTTGGCATGTTTAACTATCTGTGAGATTTAGCACTTCGCATATTTGCTTGTGGTCAGAGAGAAAAGTCTCAAATTTGAAAGAACTTCAGGCATCTTATGGATGCAATATTTTTGAACATATGCATGTATTTCAAATTGATAATGAAAACCTAGCTGTAGACACTTCACCTACGTATAGCTGGTCTGATTTTGACAATCAGCATGCATGTAACTGTGGCATCCTTAGAAATGGTGGGAGTGCTTATGAGCAGCTGTTTGTTAAACCGAAAAAGCACCTTTTACATACCTGCTTGTTATGAGCTCTTTTTAAGTGGATAACTTAAGAACCTTCACCTGACTTTTGCATATGCACTTTTAGTGATTTCTCCAGTAGGTATATTTATATCAACCAATTCTTTATCCCCATATATTTATTTTTTATTAAAATAATATTAGTAATTTTTTCAGTTGAAATGAAGTAAAAATGTTGGCATGTTTAACTATCTGTGAGATTTAGCACTTCGCATATTTGCTTGTGGTCAGAGAGAAAAGTCTCAAATTTGAAAGAACTTCAGGCATCTTATGGATGCAATATTTTTGAACATATGCATGTATTTCAAATTGATAATGAAAACCTAGCTGTAGACACTTCACCTACGTAAAGCTGGTCTGATTTTGACAATCAGCATGCATGTAACTGTGGCATCCTTAGAAATGGTGGGAGTGCTTATGAGCAGCTGTTTGTTAAACCGAAAAAGCACCTTTTACATACCTGCTTGTTATGAGCTCTTTTTAAGTGGATAACTTAAGAACCTTCACCTGACTTTAGCATATGCACTTTTAGTGATTTCTCCAGTAGGTATATTTATATCAATCAATTCTTTATCCCCATATATTTATTTTTTATTAAAATAATATTAGTAATTTTTTTAATAATTTTTCTCTCCAAACATGTACCTGATATTTTTTAAATTAACACTCCCGGTTACCCTCTTAAAAATTACCATGCCCGCAAGCATCTCCCGAAATTCCAGCTTAAGAACAGTTATTTTGTGACATTTAGAGATGCAGTTGTTGGACTATCTTTGGAACGAATCAACTAAATTTTTAGAATTTATTTGGAAATCTACAGGTAGTTCAGCTGACGGAGTACGATAACTCTCTTAAAAGATGAAAAAAAATTGATCTTAGTTTTTTGAATTTGACTTAAACCAAACATACAAACTTAATTTCAAATGGGTTCTAATTGGAATTAAAATAAAATATTTTATCAAAATTGATGGAATTTGTAAATGAATTGTAGTGTTTTAAAGAGACGTAACTATGAACTATATATATATTGAAGTTCAAAAAGAACTACCAAATTTTACTGGACTATAAATGCACTACTAAAAATGAATTGAATACCATAAACTATTTTGAGGTATGAGTTATTCAAAATGTAAAACTTCATCTGTCAATGAATTTCTTACAGGATCATTGGGAAATGAAATGAATCCCTTGTTCATTTGTTCCCAACATATCCTTAGTCTGAAATGATAAGTGAAAACATTGCTGTAGTTACCTCACCTGCTTAAAGCTGGCCATCATGTCCTTGGTTGGTTTAAAATCAAGATATTAGCTGTGCTGTTCCAAGATTTCTTTATATGTTTGCAGGGTATTTTCATATTGGAATTCTTATTTATTACATTTGTTGAGTTTTTCACTTTGTATTTAGATTTTTTTTGCCTTTTCTTTTTGACAATTTAATTTCCTTGTCACAGAACAAGCTGGAGGATATTTACAGTCTTCTTCGATTCCTGAGGGTGGAACCTTGGGGAAGTTGGGCATGGTAAGTTTTGTCTTCCTAATGTTATGCTACCACATCTCACACCAAAAAAACAGAGACAGTAAAGACTCTCATCTTCTGAGGTCAAGCCATTATCAGAAGTTCCTACGGACCAACATATTTAGTTCTTAGTTAATTTTACTTTGTATTTATTCCTTCAAAGCTTATGTAGCATGATCTGTATTTGTTCAACCTATTCATGAACAAGGTGGAATAAGCTTGTCCAAAAGCCGTTTGAGGAGGGGGATGGAAGAGGGCTAAAGTTGGTCCAGTCTATCTTAAAACCGATAATGTTAAGGAGAACAAAGTTTAGCACAGATCGAGAAGGGAGGTAAGGAAACTGGTCAAAGACATTTTAAACAATCTTATCTTGACCTTTTGCATTCCTGGCCTAAAGCTTTTGTTTGTCCCAGACCAATTCTAGTTCTCCCCCCAGCTGATATGCAGGTGATTTACTGTGAATTAACAGACACTGAAAGGGATTTCTATGAGGCCTTGTTCAAAAGATCTAAGGTTTTGCTTTGTTCCATGAATCTGTTCTATAATCTATGTAATTGACTTGATCTTGGTGATCCCTCACCTATGACATGCATATGGTGACTTCTCCAGGTTAAATTTGATCAATTCGTTGAGCAAGGACGGGTTCTTCATAATTACGCCTCCATTTTGGAGCTACTTTTGCGTCTTCGGCAGTGTTGTGATCACCCATTTCTTGTGATGAGGTGTAGATCTACCCTTATTTTGTGGATATGTATGCACATATTTAATAAAATGCTTTTAGAATTCAAAGCAGATACCGTCTGGTCCTAGTATGGTGCTTTATGTGGTAAGTCATGTTGGAGTGATTTTGAAGGTAATGGTTTGAATATACTCGCAATAGTTATTTCTCTTGGGAGATGGGGCAGGGCTATGATTCAAACTTGAGTCAGCAGCTTCATAGAAGGAATGTTATGCATGTAAGCTTTATGCACTTGACATAATTATTGTTACTTCATAAATATTTTGTTTCCTGTAATTGATAAAAAGAATGTGTTCTAGAGAGAGAAAATCCTCTCTATCTAGAGACTACACCTTCTTTCTTTGGCTGGTTGCCATCTCCATCACCAAGAAAATTCTTAGTGATAGGAAGAAAGTCTTTGATTTGGTTTTGGCCAATGAAATAGAGGATATCCTCGAGATCACAGAGAATGGAGCCAATAAAAGTTCCTCTTTATTTTTTAAGCTTTTTCTGAATTTTTTTTGAGTTAAATGCCATACTTGGTTTCAAACTTTAAAGAGGGCAGGTAGGACTTTGTTTACCAGATTAAAGAGAGGTAGCAATGAGAGGTTTTCGGAGCTTCAGGAAAAGAATGGAGGTGGTATTAGGAGATAGTTGATTTACAAAGGAACCAAGGTAGGTGATTGGTGGGAGGTCTGTTTGGCCATCTTTTAGGCATGGGATCTGATTCTTGAGGTAGGGGAAAAAGAAGTCATGTGATCTAAAGTCTCAAGGAAGGGAAAGAGAAGTCACAGTTGAAACACGCTTGTTGGAGGAGGAACTTGAGGTCACTTTTGCTTTAGTGAATGTAGGCTAGAAGACCAGATGTAAAGAAGGTTGCAAGTGTAAAGCCCAAACAAGCATTAGAGTATTAGCTAGTCTGTAAAGCAATTTGGTTCTTCACACAAAGAGCTCTTATATCTTCTTGTAGAAGAAAATGTTCAAAATGTAGAATGGAGTGTTAACAAAATATAGAAAATGTTCACACAAAGCACATGCCTTTTTTTTTCTTAATCTAAAAAGCATTTTGAGAAGGAACTTTCAATAAAGATATTGGGCTTAGAGCTATGAGATCTATTTCATCTAAAGCCCAAACCCAGATTTACATCCAAGGAGATAGGTAAATGGAGTGTTAACAACGAGGAAGATGACTCCTTCAAGGCTAATAAAAAGGAACTTTTTTTCAAAGCCAAAAAATTCCAGGGACATCATCATTTATTAAACTAGCCTTGATCGAATAAATGCTTGGGTCCTCATTGGTCTTTTCATCTGATTATTTGATTGATGTTTGGGTGAGTCAATCTTTTGTATATTTGTTGGGGAAGAAATGACTAGTTTCGACACTGTCTATCCCTAGTGTGTGTGAAGGTGTAAACTATTCCATACCTTTTTTTTCCTTTATGATCTTCCCTGTCTACTCGTTTCATACCTAGTCATGGAAGCTAATAGGTATGGCTCATTAATTTGGGAGAAGAGGAGAGTGTTGAGAACCAGTTGCAAACAACCAAAAATGAGCAAGAATGCAGAAAATAGCGAAGGATGCACAAAGAAGAAAGTGAAACTGGCTGCAGGAAATCAAAAAAAGGGAACAGGAAGAGGAAGATAGATCCAACTGCACGGGATCAAAACCCTTAAAAGGTTTACCCACGTCGGTTGGGCCTTTGAACCTAGTTTAATTGGAGTGAAGGCACTTACTTATCCAGCACTGATAGATTGGGAACACCAAAATTTGTGGAGAGATGGCCTGAAATGATCTAAAAGCTATTTCCAAGGGTCACCTTCGATTGTTAACTTGTACTCTTTGACATGGATGGATTAAATAAGGCTCTCTATTCCATTTCCATGGCTTAGGAAGTTGTTTGGAGGAAAGGGATCAAGGTATGTGTTTCTTTCTCTTTCTTGTCTTTTATTAATCAATAGTGGGCATAAAATTCTGACTTCATCTAGAGCCCTTCGGCAGGGCCTATTTTTCGACCTTTTTTTTATTTGGATGATTTATGCTTTTAGTAGGATGTTACTGAAGGCCATGAAAGAGGATTTGATCCAAGGCTTACAAGCTGGGAACGGAAGGAAGAGTGAGGAGCTTCTTTTCTGATGATTGTCAGCTGGCTCCTCGTCAAGTATCTTCCTTAACAACCAGATATAGAGACATCTACAAGACCTAGCGTTCTTGAAGATGCAGAACACATTGACTACTTGGAAGAGAGGGTTTCTTTCCGATGGCAGCAGACTAATTCTAACCAAGAACAGTCTATGTAACCTACATGTTTACTTCTTTATCACCGTTTCCCATTCCTTGATGTTGGTAAAACATATGATGCTTGCGATGCTATTACTATGGGATGGTTTAGAGGATCAACGGCTTTACCACCTTGTGTCTTGGGATTGAGAGAAAAGGCTGGTAATTGGTTGTGGAAGTTTATGATGTGCGAGGGTCATCTTTGGAGAGAGCCGTAAAAGCTAAATATGGAATTAATGCGAGGGATGTGTGTGAATAGATACCTCTATGAAACCAACTTATGAAGATGGATAAGCCAGGTCTGGGGTGAAAACCTACTGGGGTTCAGGGTTGGTATAGGTAACGCGGTGGGTTTTGGGACGTGACTTGGAATATTTGGCTCTCTAGAAAAACTCGATTGGAAATTGTTAAGTACCTAGAGTTGATACCATTGTTATCTAAATGTTGTGTGGACTTGTCCAAGGATGATTGCCCTTTATGGTTCGTGGCCAAGGATGGGAAGTTTTGTGAGGTCATACTAAAACAGGTGCAACCATAATGAAGAGTCATTCTAATGTGGAAACAAACATGGAAAGAGCCAGACATGTTCCAGGATTTATCTATAAAATTTTAATTTTTGTGTGAGAAGTGGCGTGGGCAGAATTTTGACCATAGACTGCTTGAGAAAGAGTATTAATGGGTGTCCTATGTACCAATTGAAGAACAATATCTGCCAACTATCTTCTTCTTTGGTATAGGAGGCTAGAAGCTTGTGAGATTCTGCTTTAGGTCTTCTCAACTTGTCTTGCGTTGTTTTTGTGTCAGTGGCAAAGGTGTTATTGCTTGTTTGGGGATAAGCAATGTAAATTGAGGGACAAAATTCTTAACTTCAGTTCTTATATTTGGAGAGAGAACATGAGAGCCTTTTGGAGCAGTTGCTCTTATTTTGATAGAACTAGAGATCATTGGTCCCATACCTTGACTGGTTCTTTACAGGTCATCCTATTCTCGATGGAGAGGATTTGAGGAATGTAATAGACATTTTGATTTGAGTTATTTTAACCCCCTGTATATGGTTGGCGCTTGTTGTTGCTTCAGTAAAGGTACTATTTATAGTTGGGCCATACTATGGTTAGTTTTTTGCAGTTAAACGCTGTGGTCATTTGGAAGTTTGGACTTGTATATTGCAAGCAAAGTTTTGTGCTCTGGTACACAGTTGGTAGTTCTACAAAAGAAATTTACTCAAACACAGGGATCCTTTTTCGGAGACCACGACAACCTTAAAACTTTTATATTGAATTTTTCTTTTCAGATCCAAACCCCTCTTTTTGTTTCTTTTTTCTTGAGAAGTGCTTATTAAGCCCAGTCAAGTAGTCTGGGAAGGGCTCTTTCTTCTGTGCAGAGGATACATGTTTTCCAGATACTGTTCTCAGCAAAATCAAGTAGTCTAGGGGGCTTCTTTCTTCTGTACAGAGGATATGTGATTTCCTGATGCTATCCTCTGCAATTCTTCGTAGTAATTTTAACGCCCTAAACATTAAGAGACTTCGCAGGATTTGCATGTTCAATGCACAGAGACATTTGCTTTTCCCCCTTTAATAGTTTAAGAGAATCATGGAAGTCAATTAGTTATCCTTTTTTCAAAAAGGATTTTGGTCCAGCATTTGGTTAATTTTTCTTGTGAATATCATAATCTTTTTCATCCAAGGCATTAATGCTTGGATCATTTAGTTTGTAACTTCTTGGTGGCCCTAAATATGGCTATTGAGATGACAGGGATCAACTGTTTTGATTATTATATTCGCTATAGATCATTGCTTTCCTTGTCTTTACGTTCATATTAAAATGAGTTGTTAGTGCTGATGATTGGTTCTTTTAACATGTCCAGTCGAGGAGATACGCAAGAATATTCTGATCTGAATAAGATGGCTAAACGATTCCTGAAGGGCAACCATAATGCTCTGGAAGGGGAAGCTGGAGATGTACCTTCAAGGGCTTATGTCCAAGAGGTGTTGGAGGAGCTAAGAAAGGGTGACCAAGGAGAGTGCCCCATATGTCTTGAAGCATTCGAAGATGCTGTATTGACACCATGTGCTCATCGGTTATGCCGTGAGTGTCTCTTAGCAAGTTGGCGAAATCTGACTTCTGGTTTATGCCCTGTTTGTAGGTATCTTCTGGAGTTATTGATTTTGCATGCACAGCCACACAGCTTATTGTTATCACAGTCTAAAATTTGGTTCATCCCAGATTCTTTTGTAATTAAATTTACTAGCAGTGAATTCTCAGAATGGAATATTGAAATTTAACAGGAAAGCGATTAGCAGACAGGATCTTATCACGGCTCCCACTAGTAGTAGGTTCCAGATTGACGTTGAGAAAAATTGGGTTGAATCATCAAAAATTACTCTTTTGTTGCAAGAACTTGAACACCTTCGCCCCTCAGGTTCTAAGACCATTCTGTTCAGCCAGTGGACTGCCTTTCTTGACCTGTTGGAGATTCCTCTTTCTCGGTAACTGTTCCTGGTCTTTAAAAAATTGGGAGAGCAGCTTTTCATTCTGTTAATAGAACTTATTTTTTCTCATAAAATGCTGAATTGTGTTCCACTTTATTGGACAATGGACTTACATAGGTTACATGTAAACTCATATTGGCCTGGTTCCTGCATCTACTGTTTGTTTAATGAAAGTCATTAAACTAGGTTCTTGATATAACAGTTGTCACATAATGTGTCTTTGATGTGTCAAATTGTTAGATTTTTAAGCTACTAGATTTTGGCACAAATTTATTTATTTTGGCAAAAGCATAATTCTAATCTTTATTGTTTTTCTTTTTTCTTGTAATGCCCAGAATGGTTTCTCATGGTGCTATTGAATTATAATATTTTATTTAGTTTTCAGTCAAGTAATTTCTTGTGCTGATTCTTTTGGTATTATTCTATTATCCAGGAGTAGCATTCCATTTGTGCGTTTGGATGGGACTTTAAATCAGCAGCAGCGTGAGAGAGTAATCAAACAGTTCTCAGAAGATACCAACATCTTGGTCTGTGAATGCATACCTGCTAAGTTATGGTTGGTGCTTAAAAATTAGTCTACTCCATGGTTTGACTTGTACATTTTTGCTTTGTAATTTGAGCTTCAGGTGTTCCTGATGTCACTGAAAGCTGGTGGTGTTGGAATAAATCTTACTGCAGCATCAAATGCGTTTGTCTTGGTATGTGGAGTATTAAGTTATTTTCTGCTAAATATAGTTTTTTGTGCAGGCTGAGAGTGGCTGTTAGCTTCATCATATATTCTATTCAAATTGGCGTCGATGCATTGCCCCTGGCACAATGGCAATGCCACTGGGCACCTAAACAGTTCAAATATTTTGAGGCCTTAGTGTCTTAGGATCTAAAGGCTACTTCTTCAAAGTGATCTGTTCTTATAAATTATGATATGCGTCAATAAATTTTTCTCTTGTTTGTCTGAAGCATATGATTTTTACAGATGTAGACCACCTATTCTAGGATTATATTTGAACTGTTATTTTATTACTTCATAAAAGAGAGGAAGAAAAAGGAGAGTGAAAAGGACATACATCATTAATAAGCCAATTTTCGACCCTTCTCTGCAGGACCCGTGGTG